AAAGACACTTATTTAACTCACTACAGATATCTCATGAAAATGTAGATTCTTTATTTTGTCTAGAGTTTAATCCATTACTGCATAACAAAATTCCCCACAGTTTAGTATATTGAAAGAATAATATCAAATTCAACAGAGCTTAAAAAAGAAAGCAAGCGAACAAAAACATTATGTCATAGTTTCTGTGGATCAGGAATTTAGGAGCAGCTTAACTAGGCCATCTGGCTTCAGGTCTCTCACAAAGCTGTAGTTGAGATATTGGCTAGGGGTACAGTCACTTGACTAGGGCTGGAGAATATCCTTCCAAGGCAGCTCACTCACAAGGTTGGCTAGTTGGTGCTGGTTGGTGAGAAGCCTTGGTTTGCTACGTGTGGGCCTCTTCACAAGGCAGCTTAGTTTCCTTATGACGTGGTAGCTGGCTTGCCCAGAATAAGTAATCCAAGAAGGTGAGAGCCAGGTAGAAACTGTCACAGAATCACTTCTGTCACATTCTATTTATTAGAAAGAAGTAACTAAGTCTAGCCCACATTCAAGGGGAGGTGGATTAGGTTTCACATCTAAAAGCTAATGTGGCAGCCAGACCTTAGATGCATTCTTTGAAGGCATATCAAAGAATTTGTGGATGTATTTTAAAAACCACCACAACCTGTTAGGTTACAGAAAAAAAACAAACCCAAAGTGTCTAATCCTGTTTCAAATATAGTTCAATTTCATTCAGTTCCTTTAGACAGTATTAGTCTCCTATGGATGAAATGTTTCATCTTTCATAATACCTCCCAAAGAGGTCCTGTCATTTTTTTCTGAAGATGACGTTCATTTGTTTGGGGGGAAATGGGGGTATAATTACATATCTTTGTGGCACTGATGAGAGAGAGGGTACCTCCTGGCTTCATTCTGGACCTAGAGTATGTATGCACTGAGGTACTTTCAGGTTTCCAGGATGACACCCTGATGTAGTTTGAATATATGTCCCTGCCAAATATCATGTTGAATTGTAATCCCCAGTATTGGAAGTGGGGCCTAGTGAGAGGTGTTAGGGTCATGGGGCAGATCCCCCATGTCTTGGTGCTATTCTCACTATAGTGAGTGAATTCTCTCAAGATCTGCTGTGTAAGTGTGTGGCACCACCCCCAACTCTCTCTCTTGATCCTGCTTTCGCCATGTGACATGCAAGCTTCTGTTTTACCTTCTGCCATAAGTAAAAGCTCCCTGAGTCCTCCCCAGACACTGAGCTGATGTGGGCACCATGCCTCCTATACAGTCTGCAAAAGTGTACAATTAAACCTCTTTACAAATTACCCAATTTCAGGTATTTCTTCATAGCAATGCAAGAACAACCTAATACATACCCCTTGTCTGCCTGATCCCTGGGGAACATGCTGTCCTGTGATGCTGAAGACTGTAGCTGGTGAACTCATGGTCCATCTTTGGATTCAGAAAAATCTCCCAGGGAGTATTGGCCACCTCCCCTGGCAGACTCAGCACCCCTGGCCCCTGCTGTGGGGTTACCTTGCCTTGGTTGTGGCAGGCCTACTGGCTGTTAGTTCAGCATCCTTCAAGGGAACAGAAAGGCTTGGAATCATTGATTATCATATCTCTGTCTGACCATGCTATTGTGGACTTGGCCTGAACAGCCATAGAAATGCAAGGAATGGGGTATGAGGGACTTGGGCAGTTGTCTCAAAAAGGGAGTCAAGGCAGAAGTCCCTTACCCTGAGCACTGCTCTCAACATGGAGGTAACTTACTGTGGTAGGCAGCCTTTTATCTCATGATTTGACTTTTTGATGAGTCTAAGCTAGTTGTCTTGTAGACTATTCTGCATTCTCGATTTGGCTGATTATTTCCTCATAATATCTTATAACTTGTTTCTCCAACCCTTGCCTTTTTATTAAAAAACAAAACAAAACCTCGACATTATATGTACAGATTTGATTATATTCAGGTTAAACATTTTTAGAAAGAATACTTCAGTAACATTGAGTAGGTTACATCATTTCATGTTAGGCACATAATTTCAGCTTATCTCACTATTAGTAACGTGAAATTTGGTCACTTGGTGAGATGATGACCCCCCAATCACTCCATTGAAAAAGGACACACATCCCTTTGCACTTTGTAAGCTACAAAGAACCTGTTCAACAACTTTTCATCTTATGCTTTGAACACCTTTTGTGATCTTTTCCTGAGTCAGTTATTTCACTGGGGGTTGCAAAAATGGTGTTCTAACTGTAGTAGTCTGTATTTATTAACTAGCATTTTTCTGTAAAGAAGAACTTTCTTTTTTTAAGAGACGGAGTCTAGCTTTGTCTCCCAGGCTAGAGTGCAGTGGCATCATCAGAGCTCACTGAAGCCTCAGCCTCCTGGGTGCAAGCGATCCTCCCACCTCAGCCTTCTGTGTTGCTGGGAACACAGGCACATGCCACTGTGCCCGGTAAGAGCACTCTTTTAAGAAAACTATTTTAATGAATTTCTCAGTGGACCACTGGGTAGTGGTTTGTTTCCAATTTTGTTGAAAGCACTTGGAAAGCTCCTGATTTTTAAAAGGATTTGTTACCCAGTTATTGGAGCTATTCACTCTCTCAATACTATCCCCAGTATTTTCAGTTATTCTTATGTTTGGTCCCCAGGAGGTTTTTTAATTCAGGCAATGCAGGATTTGAAGTAAAGGTGGAAGAGAGGTTCGGCAATCTATGGTAAGATGGAAGAAAAGCTAAGTGGAAACCAAGAACCAGCATGGCATCTCGACTGCACCAGTTCTCAGAAAAGCTGTTTTAGAATGCATACTTGTAGAAGTTGAGGATCTAGAAATTAGTTCCCATAAAACTCTGCATGCTTTGGGACTTCTTGGAAAGTTTTTGCGTGAAGCCAGAGGTCTATAGTACAGAATACTGAGCAAAGTCTTCCAGGTTTCGTTGATGACAAGCTAAGGGCAGAAATAAAGGAATTTAGAGACTGGCTTTCAAAACAATAGCCTGGATTTCAAGCCTTTTGTCTTGTTGCTATTTTGAATTTCAGAAGCCAAATATTAATTTCTTTTTTTCCATTCCTTTTGTAACATCTAAACAGTGCCAAAATCCTATCTCCAGGGCAAATGGATTCTCCAGGGCAAATGGATTCCCCAGGCAGATGAGAAAAAGATCACATTACTCATGTTCAGAATATTACCCCAGGTGCACAAGTATTGTGGAATTTTGTGCATTTGGATGGAAGACAACTGTTTCCTTATCTTCTTCCAATGTCAGGAGTAAGTTTGGTGATTATAACTTTGGCAATATCTTTTAAGCAGAATTAGTATATTATGTAACGTGTTTTATGACCATCCTTAATAAAATTTTGGGTTATGGCTCCTTACAAAATGATTTTAAATATCATTAAGCCATAATATATACATGCAGTTATCCTGGAAGGAATAAATACATTGGTCATTTTTTTGGTCTCAAATAATTTAAAACAATCTTTGTGATTTCTCATGTCAAGGAGCCATAGTAGTAAGTCACAGCACATTAAATTGGCCAGTTATTTTAGTCTAGTCTATTCATGATGCAGAATAGTACACTATGCCTGCTCTGGAGGCTGAGTCAGTGGTTCCAAATCCTAGCTCCCACACTATGCAACTTTGGGCACATTACTTATCCCCCCAAGCCTCCATTTCTTCATCTGTAAAACAGAAATGCCAGTAATAGTACTCGTCTTGTTGGGTTGATAGGATTAAATGACATAATGTATGTAAATACCTGGCACATGTTAAATATTAGTTGTTTTTATTGTTGTTGTAATTATTCTTGACTAAGAGAGGAGATGATATCCAAGTCACCAGCCTGCTGACTCAAAGAATTTCTTCAATATCTAACTTTCTTGATAAATGAATTTTCTTAAAATGTCAAGTGTTAAAATTAACAGTTGAATTTCTCTGAGTCTTACATAGGAAAACTAGAATTAACCTCACTCCTCCTAAAATAAAAGTAGAAAATACGATGAGGATGTTGATCCAGGAAGAACCTTCAGTTTCTTGAAAATTATACTCCAGCTTCCCTGTGCCACCTCTTTGCTAACAAAGTTTTCATTTTTGCACATTGCAAGTCAGCATTCCTCTTTCAAAAAATAAATATTCTGAACTGCCTTGGTTAGTATTCTGAATTAGAAACAATAAGTTATATGCCAGTATTATGAGACAAATGTATAGCCAGTTTATATTTCTGACTTGGAGTAGTCCAAATGCTATCCAAGTATTAATAAAATTTGTATTTATTTAAAATAATTCAGCAACTCACATTTTAAAAATTGTCTTTTCTCCCATAGTGTTATAAAGAATCCATACATTGTTCCTAGTATGGACAATCAGGTGTGGTTATAAAGTATCTCCCAATTAAGGCTGTTAGGACTTAGATAATGGCTTCCCAAATGTCAGATGTTTTAACCTGAGGAGAAACAGATTTCTTGAGTTCTTTCCACCACCCTGTGATGGTACTTCAGGGTCAATCTGTGAAGCTGGAATTCTCATTCAGTTGCCCCTAACTAGATTTTGAAGGAAAGAAGCGGTGGAGGATGGGGAGAGTAACTATTGCAGTGTCCATACTAATTCCTAGATTCCTTTCAAGATTGAGGACCAAGAGGAATCCAATTTGGCTCTGAGAATGCTAGCTGAAATCCCTCCTCAGCAATTCAGCCCTTTTCCCTCTTCCTTTCTTTAGTCAGCAGGGTCCCATGGTGACCGGTTTTAAAAGAAATCATCCTCTTCAGCAGTTACCTAGCACCATGGCAACGAGGACGTCAGCAAAGCAGGATAGACCCTGCACAAAACAGCTCCAACCAGGCTCCCTCCCTGCCTGTCCACTTCAGCCTTGCCTGAGACCTAGGGATGGGGCTAACAACATCTAGACTTGTATACCCCAGAATTCCTGTGTGTTTCTGTGGTTTTCCCCATAAGCACAGATACTTGGGCATACAGTAAACTATGTTACAGAAATCTCCCTCCCCCCCCCACACACAAATAAAACATAGATCATATTTAAAGGGTGAGGATGGGTGATGGGATGGGGACAGGGAGGTAAGTATGGGATAGTCTTTTGGGTTTAAGGAAATATAAAAATTATGTTTGTGTTTATAAGGTAACAGTAAACCGATAGCAGGGGAAGTCAGAGCCCTAAACATGTGATGTGGTTTATATTTAGGCACAGGACGTCAGGGAAATTTTTTAAAATATTGTTATTTACTTGAGAGTGAAATAGACAAACGGCTTTAACAAGCACTGAAGGGGGTGTAATGCTGTCCGTGGTGCTGAACACTCCATTGTCCCCGATGTGTGCTAAGGGGGATCCAGAGGGCAGGTTAAGGAACACCTTGCCAGGTCAGGGTACTGACTGTAAGAAAGAAAGAGAGGGGTTGAGGTTAAGAAAGCATCATTTATCTTCCATACTGAGCAACTCTGAATGGTCAGGATAAAATCTTCAGATAGAAAAAAAAGAAAATAGAGAAGGAAGGAGGTTTGGGTGATTGAATCTTCCCCTTTTCATATGGAGATTTTTGGTCTGAGCCAATCAGGGCAGAGATTTCTGCTGCTTTGCTCCTGAAAGGAAAAGTGGGGGAAGGGAGGGAGAAGATGGCCACATTCTCCCCTTCAGCCACATGATCCATTTCCCATGTGACACATTCCAGAGCCTTGGAAAGGAGAAAGGAGGGGCAACAAGAGAGTGGGGCTGGGGGCGGGAAGATGGTTTAACAGTCTACCCTGCACAGCGTCATCTTGTCTCCCTAACAGGAAGCAGGCTGTGAGCCAAGGGGAAGGCAGAGGACAGAAATGAATGTGTTTCCAGGCTTTCCTGGTGGTTTATGCCTTTCTCCAAACTCGTATGCAAGGGCTATTCCTGACCAAGAAGATCTAAGGAGAACGTCTCTGAAATCAAGTCCGGATGAAGGTATGTGACAGGAATCCCTTGGTATTGCGACTGAAATTTGGCTCAGAGGACATAATGCCTTATTTTTTTCCAGGCAATTTGGAGATTTTGTCCTGCCTTAGATGCTGGTTAGAGGCTTTAGGTTTGTTACCAGTCCAGAAAAGATGCCTAGGTAGTTCTGTAAAATGAAAATTTGTCAGAGCATGTGCCTGTTGAAAAATTGAATGGAAATTGTGTATGGTGATAATTAATGAAACAAAGCACTCATTGATGAAAAGGATTTTTTCCCCTTGAATCCTGGAAAGAGGGGGAAAAAATTACCGAAACCAACTAGGTTTCAGCATCACTGCAATAAAAGCGTGTTTCATCCCTTTTCAGCTGCTTATGCTTTGCCCAGAGGTTATTGGCAGTGGCTTGGGGAGCCAAAGTGGGCAGGCATGCTGTTCCTTTGTGCTGTGCGATCATCTTCCTTCTGATGTTCCTGGCACCAGGGCTGCTTGTGATTGTTCCCAGCTCTGATTTAGGACAGTAGACTGCCACAGAATTTCACATCTTGTAGAATTGCTAGCCACAAGACCCTGGGGAAGTTCTCAAAGGAATCTATCAAAGTTACAGGCTAAAATAATCAGCCATGAACTCAAATTTTCATGTCTTTGACTATTTTCAGCACAAAGAGATGAGCCCCTTTAAATTTTAGTATGTCTTTATTTAACAAATACTTAAGAAAGTTCTTGCTGATGTGCAAGGCACTCTTCTAAGCACAAACAGTCATTGAATCCTTATAAAAACCCTTTGAGGAAGGTTTTATTACCCACATTTTAGAGATGAAGAAACAGAGGCACAGAGAAGTTAGGGAACTTTCCCAAGGTCACACAGCTAGCAAATAGTAGAAATAGAACTTGGACCTATGAAGCTTGACCCCAAAGCCCATGCTCTTAACCACTGAGCTATGCTGCTTGCCTCCTCATATTATTTCAAACGATGTCAGCAGTCAATTTGGCTTCAAATTTCGTTCAACTGATGCTACTAGAAGATTGAATCAGCTTGCTTTGCTAAAACAGATCCCCAGAGAAATCTATATTTAATCTTAAATTATCCCTGTGGTCACATTCTGTACCCCCAAGTAACCCAGTAAGTAATTGCTGTTCTGTTTCCCTTGTGCTGTATAGATCTCTGTAGTAAAATGCTATGTTACTATGGTGACCAATTGATGTCTAAAGAAAAAGAAATCTAGAATTATGTCATGGGTTTTTTAAAAAATCGAACCTAGAAACACTCTTCCATCCTCAGAACCCAGCAAGGCCAACCTAAGCATGTTGTCTTTAAAAGCACCTACCTAGTTCTCAAAATAAAATAAATAGATTAAAAACTTCTAAAACTATGTATATAAACTGTAATATCAAACTGACTAGATTTATTGTTTTACAATGATATTATACCTTAAAATAAGGGAATAGGTTTCTTTTGCAAATTATTTTAGGTTTTTAAGGGTAAAAGAGGGGTTTGCTAATAACTTTTTTTAACTGCTAGAAATTTCTGAGATATAAAGATTTCCGTTTTTGATCTGTGTGGATTTCCTTCTGGCCTTTGATAATAAAAGATGACTGATCTGATTCCTATAAGCTATGGAAAAACTAAAAAGTTACTAGTTCCCTTCAGGGTTTCATTGCGCAGTACTTTAAAAAGTAATTGTGTCCTCCACAATATTGAACTTTAGTCTTTTAGCTTAAGCCTTTGATCCCTGCTGAAATCTACGTTTCCCTGGGACCAGTAACACTTTTATGCTATTATAGTCACATGAGTGAGCTTCTTGAGGGACGGTATCCTTTCCTCTTTGGATTTCTAGCACTTAATCACTAGGCCTGATTTATGGTGAGCTCTCAATATACTCTTGTGAATGAAGTCTGAGAAGACTCAAAACAATGACAGTATTCTGCTGGTGCCAATTTGGGAGTCCATGCCTGTTTCATTTTGCATGTATTTATAGGGAGGACAGTGAGGAGACACATGTGTAGTAAGAACTTGGTAACAGTCAAAATTATGCCTGAAGTTTATATAGTTAGACTGCCCCTGGAGCAGCAGCAAATTAGAGTTTAGAAAGTATACATAAATTATTTCCTGGAGATCACCATTCCCCCTGACATTTTTATTTACATTTAGAATGAAGTTCTGCTGATATTTTTATTCATATCTAGATGGAAGCACCCCAACAGTCTTATTTTCCTCTGATGCTTTGCGTGGTCCCATCTCCAAGTGTTGAAACAGTTCAACTCAGTTTGAGAGTGAATGTCTTGAGAAGTCAACTCCTGCCCCAGGCAATTCTCTCCTAATTCAGTCTGGCTCCCAGTGCTTAGAACTCTGTATAGAAAGCTCACAGGACTGCAGGACTCTTTCCTAGGGAACTCTAGGATCTTGAGGGTCAGTGTGGGTTAGGATCAGACTGCCTTTCCCAAACCATGGCATGACTGAAGAAGATTGTTCTGAATGAAGAAGATTGTCCTGGGGCATTTTGAAAGCTTGGTCAGGATTTAAATTCAAGTTAGCAAGATAGTAAGGCTTAAAATAGTCACCCTCCTGATAATATACACAAATATAACCCATGATTTTTCCATCTAATTAAATCATTAAGGGGTTATGGATAAGGTGTGGGTCCTTGAATTCTACCAGCTCATGCTGCTCACCTCAAGCATTACCTGCTGAGCAAGCTGCACAAAAGAGACAACAGCCCTGATGGAAGCACAAACCAGCTGGCAAGTGCTACATGCCCCCACACATGCAGGGCTTCTCAGATAAGCAGGGCTAGCACACACATGAGGCATGGATCTGGAAGCCTAGCTGCGCTTCCTACGCATCCTTCTGGAATCTAAAAGGGGGCAACCTACTCAACCAGCTAAATGGGAGGATAGAACAGAGGGAGAGAAAGTGGAGAGGCTTCCCCTAGAGGAGAGGCCTTGCCAAGTATGATTTCAACCTAGAGGTGAAGGGTGAAAGCAGAAATAAGAAGAGGGACAATGAGCATGGGTGAAGAATATGAGAAAGTGATACCTGAGTCCTGCCTTTCAGACACAACAGCTTGCCTGCAAGTAAACCCTGCCAAATGAGTCAGGGCCTGCCAGGGGAATGATCAAATCCGTTCCTAGGGTGTATATAGGGAGGGGAGAGGAGAGCGAAGGACCAGAGTGTGGACACAGTTTCTTCTCTATCAGCCAAGGCAAAAAATTGGATGACATGGGAGTTGTGATCTCTGAGAGGATGGTTTAAAAAGGAAAAGGGAGGCTGAGTGCCATGACTCATGCCTGTAATCCCAGTACTTTGGGAGGCTAAGGCGGGAGGATTGCTTGAGCCCAGGAATTTGAGACCAGCCTAAACATAGGGAGACCTTAGGCCAGACATGGTTGCTCATGCCTGTAATACCAGCAGTTTGGGAGGCCGAGGCGGGCAGAACACTTAAGGTCAGGAGTTCTAGGCCATCCTGGCCAACATGCTGAAACCCCATCTCTACTAAAAATACAAAAATTAGCTGGGCATGGTGGCAGGTGCCTGTAATCCCAGCTACTCGGGAGGCTGAGGCAGGAGAATTGCTTGAACCCGGGAGGTGGAGGTTGCAGTGAGCTGAGATTGTGCCACTGCACTCCAGCCTGGGTGACAGAGCAAGACTCCGTCTCAAAAACAAAAACAAAACAAAACAAAACAAAAAAACAGGGAGATCTACAAAAATAGCTGGGTGTGGTGGCACGCACCTGTGGTCCCAGCTCCTCAGGAAGCTGAGGTGGGAAGATTGCATGGGCCTGGGAGGTTGAGGGTGCAGTGAGCGGTGATCGCTCCACTGCACTCCAACCTGGGTGACAAAGCAAGACCCTATCTCAAAAACCAAAAAATAAAAGGCAAAAGGGGAGTTACCATCATTAATATATTTCCCTGTTTGTAGAGCCATTTTCCCTTGACCAAACCTTTAAAGCAGTCATCTCCTGGAGCCTTTCATTCAGTATACTCTTCCAGACACTGCATGTCTGTCATGTTTAATTCTCATAGCAACTCTCTATGATATGCATTATTAGCCCCAATTTTCGCTGAGGAAACTGAAGCTCAAAGAGATTAACTTACCTGTTCAATGTCCACAGACGGCAGGTAGAGTCAGGATCTGAATCTAGGTCTTTTTAAATTCTGTGCTTTTTTTACTATATCGCAAGTAAAGTTCTTTTGTCTGCATTCTTTTAAAACATGTTTTTGTATATTAGATTAATACAAATATCATTCTAGAAAATTTGGAAAATATAAAGCAGTATAAAAAGATAATGACAATAAAAATCAGTCATGATCTTGCCACCTAGAAACAATCACTGTTAAAATTTTGGTGTATTCTCAATTTTTTTTCAATGCATATAATGATAACAAAAGCAAACATTTGTTGAGCACTTGCTTTGTTCCAGACATTGTCCTTAGCTCCTTTCTTATGTAATTTATTTTATTATCATAAAAAATCAATAAAATGAATATTGTTATTATTTATTCTAATTTTATTTTTTTATTTATTATTATTTTTTTTGAGACAGAGTCATGTTCTGTCGCCCAGGCTGGAGTGCAGTGGCACTATCTCAGCTCACTGCAAGCTCTGCCTCCCAGGTTCACACCATTCTCCTGCCTCAGCCTCCCAAGTAGCTGGGACTTCAGGTGCCCGCCACCACGCCCAGCTAATTTTTTGTATTTTTAGTAGAGATGGGGTTTTACTGTGTTATCCAGGATGGTCTCGATCTCCTGACCTTGTGATCCACCTGCCTTGGCCTCCCAAAGTGCTGGGATTACAGGCGTGAGCCACCATGTCCGGCCTTATTTATTCTAATTTTATTGTTGAAGACACTCAATAAGCACAAACATGTAAAATAATTTACCAACAGCTATACAGATTATAAGTGACTTGAACCCCAGGCAGGCTGACTCTAGACCAGGCTTTCTCAACCTTAGCACTGTTGGCATTTGGGGCCAGATAATTCTTTGTCATGGTGGGGGTCGGGGACTGTCCT